GAGTTCCTCGTTGGAATAGTTCTTGGGGAGGCCTGCGTGAGCAAGGCCATATCAAGCACCACTGGCGATTGTTTAACTCACCCCAGATTGTTTTAAAAATTCTTGTCTGATTGACAAAAATTCTCAACCGGAGATTTTACATATCTCAGCGGCCAGTGTGAACAGCCAGTTCGGGTTCCAAGGCGTCGAGTTTGCCATCAAGTGTGTAAAGCTATTACAAACGTGTATTCAACTTGTTGAATGCTCCGATTTGGCAGCGTATGATGATAGTGTAAAACAACGAGTATTTAGCCAGATACCTACCTGGGAGACTCGGTCTAAACGATAATAACCTGCAGTATGTAAGTGTATACGCCTTAGTGGGCAATTAAATATGCCAGGAACTGTACCTCCATGCTTTCTTGTACATCCGGATTAATTATAGGTTGCGACACAAGCCCAATAAAACAAGTAACAGACAACGCAGATCAGTCAGATGTAGCAATATGAACAGGTTCATAAAAGCAATATAGTGAATCATTGCCACGAGCCCAGTCCAGAAGACCATGCCGAACCATTCAGAGCCCGTCTACATGTTCGATTAATAGGGCAGGCCGTGTTGTCCAGAGGCCAGACTCTTCTAACGACCTACCCGGTAGGCTTTTGCGATTCAATACCATCTCAAATTGCTCCACCGAAGCAGCTGTCTATGACGTAACCCCGCACCTCGACGGTTGTCTGACCATTTTCCTGACGTATTCCAAGGCTCTTTGGACTTGCCAGCAGCAAGTCATTAATGCCGAACTGATGTCATTATCAGCCAAGTGGGAGCTAAAGAATGTTTCTCTCAGATTCCACACAGTTAACACCGAACCGCAGAAAGTCTCATTCCTCGGCGACTCTCATTTGTCAACGACGATGAATGGGGAAGGTGCCCCATTCCCGATCATCTGTGCATTGTACATACTGACATGAGACCCGACTGCTCACGCCAGATATTGACACAAACATTCTCCAAATTGGGACGCCTGGTAAAGAGTGGCAGCCAGACATCTCCTCATTCCCGCAAGCCACCGGAATGTGAGTGGTTGAATGGTTAGTCTACATGCATGTTGGACTTTGCGCGAACACCCACCCCCCTGGAGGCCTTGAGGCGCTATTTTGCTGGGATGATGACGACAGAAATCAGGGACAGGGTCGCGCCGTGTCGTAGGCCACGGCGCGAAGATAGCCGTACCTACGTCATTCCGTCAGTCGGCAGATCATCTGAATGGCCCCCCCAGCATGAGCCAGTGAAGGTGGTGGCAAAACGCCAGCTACTTACCGATTTGGCACCCAACCACTTACGCGCAAGCATCGATGAACCACCTGACGACATCCCAGACAAAACCAGAGAAATTCTTTCCCATTACTCCGTACACTCGGACGAGATGGACCCTTGTTGTATGGGCGAATGACATCATATCATTGTGCTGGAAGCGAAGCTGCATTTAGGTGCAGGTATCGATGCGGGTTGGCGCGGCACGTTCTGCTACTTTAGAGAACTTGCCGAGGACTATCGGCCGTATTGGCCCGATATGAATTTTGGCATTGGACCACGAGGCTGGCATTGGAGGGCGCGGTCAGGCCGTGCCGTCAAAGGCATTCAGATGATATGCTGCCCGTCCAGCTTAAAGTTTGTTCCGGCGGTGGCATTGAATATAGCCTTGGTGGGTTACTCTGATACCTGTGTGTAGACATACGTCATGGCGGGCGGTATTTCCGATGCACGAGCATAACCGTGAAGTTGAAATCCCATCCCCCAAGGTGAGTCCAACTCCACAAACTAAAGGAGGCCGTGCCCCAATTAGAACGTCGGCAGATCTTTTGTCTCGGCCGTGTCCAATTGAGGCCTTCATCTTTAAGGGGCTCTCGGGATGGATGGAAACCCTGCAAATAGTTGACTGGCTTGTGGGCCACAGCAAGACCTGACGGGTAGAGTCGCCTCGTACCGAGTTTTGCTTCAGAAAGCTTGTCATGCACATCAGGGTCCCGGTCGATGACCGTGCCACAACAAAGTCCGCAGGAGGTTTCTGGGGCTTAAGGTCGGTCCAAAGTCATTCTGCCCGAATTTGGCCACACTTGCCCAATGGCAACTAGAAGGCCGGCCTCATCGCAGGTGGCCTCACGAGATGAGCATGATGCCGTTTATTTCATTCAGCTTCCTGTGAAGAGTCGGGGTATTCGGCGGGCAAGAAGAAAACAAACTAATGGATTAATTAGCTTAGTAGTACGTATATCATCGTAGCTCGTCAGCGATAGCTTGCCAGGATTCTCAGGGTCCTCGCCACTTCTCCCCCGTAATTATCTGCGGTGCCCAGTGGATTCGCGATGCAGGCACACCAGAATCCTGTTCCGTTTGGCCGTACGATATCCATCAATGTAACTCCTGGATTCTGATGGAGACTAGACAATGGTATCGGTCTAAGCGAAGCCTAGGTCCGACTCGGAAGTCAAAGTAGCAGCGACAAAAATTGGCATCGTGGACGCGAAACTTGCTGTGTGGCTCGTAGTCACCTCTCGTCAAATTGACCTGGAGGTGGAGACAGGTAACCTGATCGCCGCCGCATGCCTCTTTTTGGCTCCGGGAGCAGGTACTACCACATCCCGAGTCGCGTTTGGGTCTCTCCTTTCTGGTGGATAGACTGGTAGGGCATAGTACCACCCATCATCACCCTTGCTCCGACCACACAGGCTGCCAGCTCATCCGGTCTCCGTGAAGCCATGTCCGCTTATTATGGGTCAGAGTCATTTGGGCCCATTTGGCATTTGGGTTTGTCGAAACCGCCTCTGTGATATTTGGCGTCGGCGTCATCTCAATCCCTAGGTAGTTGCTCGGCAGGAAACTGGGCTTGGCAAAACGAGGTGTCCAGGCGCCACAGCCCTGTTGGTAGCTCAGTGCCGTTATTCTGTCAAGGTTCGATACCCCAAGCACCTAGGGAGGTGATGTGGGCATGGACAATACAGGCCAAGATGCACTTGTGGCTGGGGCGTGAAATCGCAGATATGGTGCGCCGTCCGCCTCGTCAAGTCTTCGCTAGGGTTCTGTAGCATTTTTCTCTTGGAAATTGTTCATCTGTGCCGTCAAGTGCCGCATTAGGCACCTTGGTATCTTTGTACTCACTTGAGCAACTGCTACGGGTGCTAGTTTGGAAAGAGGCATCGACTGACTGCTCTTGCTCGCTTACAATAGACTAGAGACAGTACCCGGAACCAAAGCGTCATTGGCGTCGACCAACTTCTACTAACCACGCCCATCCACAAGCCCCTCGGTGGCTAATATCTCGAACCCAATTCCTCCTCTTTTTTTGAACTCATTACAGGACCGCTAAGCTGTTGACTCGTACTCACTGCCGACGAAATTCTGCTGATTCACAGGTCGACTACTTGTCAGCCTCTGCCCTGGTTCCCTCACCAGTGAATATAATGGGAATCATCTACGCCGCAGTTTGAGCTTTGAGGATCCCTACAACACATGGATACATCTTTTTTTCCCTGGAATATACGTAGGGTCGACAAAGGGATATAAGCCGGGCACCGATAAAAAAGACTTGCCGCGCCTACTCCCTAGAGGCTCAAAAAAAGGTCTAAATCAACGCGGGCATCAAGACGGGACAGAACCATCGCGGTCCGACCAAGAAAAACGGTCCGTTGAATTGCCTTGAATTCACTCCACGCCTTGATCTTTCTTCTTTGTACTATCCTCTGTCGTCTAGCCTGAAGAAGCCTTGGTCGGGAATACCTAAGCTGCAAGGGCTTTCTTGGATTACATACCGCACACAGGACTATCCTGTACCCTTGACGTTGTCTCGCTGGTCGTGGGGCTGTGAGGGTCAAAAGGCTTCGGGCGTCGTAACGAGAAGTCCTGGGGTTTTTTGGGCTATTGACAGGTCCGGTTATTGCAATCGGATACCTGTATCCGTCTCAAGCCCCAGCATCATTACTACTCCTCTCACACCTCCCTAGCGCATCCCACCTTGTTAATTCAACGGATCTCCTTGTTTACTCAGCCCTGTCGTCAGTATCTGATCACAGGGGTGGCTCATTCAACTCAATTTCTAGCCAGGATCCAAGAAAGTGGTGCTGCCTTGCGAGTCTGATTGATTCGCAGCCCAAAGCTCCGAATAGGCCCAGTCCAGCTACCTTTCAAGAGATATTCGCCACTCGGCACTCTACCTGGGGTTCTAGCTTGGAGAAGATTGAATACCTGCTAGAAACTTTTCAGGGTTCTTCTTTCAAGTCGTCATCTGCCCCCCAAATTCCCACCGTTTGAAACAGCATCCTACTTGGCTTGGCTGTCAGCTGAGTTGTTCCTCTAGACGCATTGCTACACTCTTGTTTTATTGAGTCCGCGCTTTTCTGCATTCTACATTGTCCGGTGAACCAATTGATCTTTGGTTTCTCTTTTCGTCTCGAGGAGGGAGGATAATTCGATCATCCACAGTCCACAGCCAAGGCACTTATGCACATCTTCATTGCCTAATACGTTTTCGCATTCCTCGGACCATTATCTCCGGAAAATCCACATTGTATCTGCAATTAGATATTTGATACCAGCTCTACCCGTTGGGTGTCAAGGATCGCAAAAGCATCACCAGAGCAGGACTTACCTGACGAGTGTGCTATTTATCGGCTTCTTGTACGGAACAAGCATTTCGCGCTTCTTTTTGTTGAAACAAATCGCCTAGCCGCATCGGAAACGCGGCCATTATTTCAGCCCACTTCACGAAGAATCGCGGAGGTTCTGCAGTACTAATTAGCATCCGCATTTATTTTACGTTAAGCAATATTCGACTTCAGTTCAAACCGATAGACCGATAGACCGATAGACCTAGGATACGGCTTCGAGCACTCGTATGACCTAGTCATCGATAAAAACTCTGGCTGCGTTGACATCCTCGATCAGCTTTTGCAAAAGGCCAGAAGACCGAAGGCCAAAAAAATCGCAGTTTCAGCACTTGAATATCCGGAGCGAATATCAAATGCAAAGCGATTCGGTGAGCCGAACACAGGATGCTGGTCAGCTTGACGCTCCTCGCCAAACTCCAACATTTTTGTCCGCCAACTCGAACTCGAATTCCAACGAAGCTAGTGAATTACCGCCAGCTGCTGTGGAACAAGTCCAACACCAATATCCCTACCAACCTGGCCCCTTGCAGCAAACCCCAGCGCAAGCTACGATGGCATACCAACAACCGCAGGGCCACCAAGAGGCTTTCGACCTAGCTCCGATGAATAACACGTTGCTCGCCATTAATTACCGACCACAGTATTCAACTCAATTTCTTCAAGGCCATAGCCAACCATTTAACTCAACCACATCACCGCCCATGGCTCATCAAATGACCCCCATGCCACAGTATGGTGGTGCAGCCATTCCGATGCCAAATCAAGCATATTATGTCCAACAACAGCAGATCCCTCAATACTATTCAACTAGTCACCTATCTCAGGTCCAACACCCAATACCGCTGCAGGGACGCCAGGATATGGTTTACTATCACAACCAGATGTTGATGAGTCCTGCTCAAACGAGCTTCTACTATCCCCACAATGGCCAGTATTCAGGCCATCCACCAGCAATGCCTACAATGATATCGGGAGTATTTGTAGATGATGTTTCGAAATCTCAATCTCGCAGTCCTCCGCATCAGGCGAATGGAAATGCTGCTGCTAGAAGACCATACGACCAAGGTAGACCAACCGTGAATCAAAAGCAACTGGACAATCGGGAACTGACCCAAAAAACAGACGCGCCTTCAGCAACGCAGAATACAGTTCGGGGCCCTCCAAGAAAACCGCGACAGAGCGGCCACGCTCTTTGGATCGGTAACCTACCACCTCAGACAAACCTGATGGCTTTGGTTCATCACGTGTACCAAGTAACACCCGGAATGGAATCTTTATTTCTGATTTCCAAGAGCAATTGTGCCTTCGCCAATTTTAAAGATGAGCCTGCTTGCTCTACTGCACAGCAAAATCTACACGATTCCAAATTCCAGTCTGTCCGACTCGTCAGCCGATTACGAAAAAGTGCAGTCGAGGGTTCCACAGGTAGCACCGTGCCTACTGGTCCTGCTGTCAATTCGACGCCATCAAAAACACAGGGAGGCACTGACGTGGAGGGTGTAGATGGTGACTCGGAGGAAAAGAATCCTCCTACAGAGTCGGAACTTGTTTCCAAACCCGTTCTACCAGTGCCCAGGCGCGATAGTAAAGCTCACCAGTACGAGGACAAATTCTTCATCTTAAAGAGCTTGACAACGGAAGATTTGGATCTAAGTGTGCAAACCGGTATTTGGGCGACGCAATCACACAACGAGAACAACCTCAATGATGCGTTTCAGGCAAGTCGGCTGCCAAGTGAACTAGGACTTGATATATGTGGTTAATGTACTAACTGACTCGGTATAGGCCGCGGATAATGTTTATTTGATATTCTCAGCTAATAAATCAGGCGAGTATTTCGGATACGCACGTATGATTTCCGAAATCAACGAAGATCCTGCCGCCGCAATCAAGTTCGCACCAAAAGTTGCATCTACTGCCAATGTCGATCTTCCGATAGCGATTCCTACAGATGCCACTGAATATGCCCCCAGGGGCAAAATCATAGATGATTCCGCACGAGGCACAATATTCTGGGAGGCGGAACGGGACGATTCTGAAACCGAATCTGACATGGAGAGCGAAAGCACAAGTGACAACGCCAATGGTACAGAAGATGAAACAAAGGCATGGGGAAAGCCATTCAAGTTAGAATGGCTCTCCACCAGTCGCCTTCCCTTCTTCCGAACTAGGGGTTTGCGGAACCCTTGGAATTCAAACCGAGAGGTCAAGATCGCTAGAGACGGCACCGAGCTAGAGCCATCTGTTGGGCGAAGGTTAATTGGTCTGTTCAACCGCGTACAGAATCCAACCATTGTTGCAACTTCTGCACGTGCACAAATGAACTTTGCACCTGGATATCCGATGATGCGGCCATATTAATAGCAAATGAATCATCCGGGTGGGTTTTCAACCAGGACGGGTGTACTCTACTACGCAGTCAGGGCAGTCACTGGAAGTAAGAGGTGAGGCGAATTATGGAAGGGAATCTTGGAATGGAATCGAACCAGCGCGTCAGTCGGTGCTGGGGCTAGGGCGGGTTTGGGTAGATCAGAGAGGTGAATCATTAGGTCTGCGTACGGATAATGACGGTGATGATTATTTCTTTCATATTTCATGTGATGGGGGGTTAACGAATGTATATCCGGCAGATTGGTGAGGATTTGGGCGCGTCGAGCGTCTTTGGGGATCAAAGGCCATGTCCTCAATTATGAATGCATCAAAAAAATGCTGCTGAAGAAAACTGAATCGATGCCATGCTATCCCATACAAGCCTCAAGGATAACACATCACCGGGAGTTTTAAGCTCGTACAAGAGAAGATACTCCTGTATCCTCGTTAAATATCGATGAATCGCGAGAATTGCATCAAGAGATGAAGTTGGATACAACCGTGGCTTGTGAGTGGCGATGCGTTTTGATACGACATCTATGAACGAGATGTGGCTGGGCAACTGTCACACGGAGTTTACTCCGAGTCACGTCGCTGGTAGTGCAAGGTGCCAAGGAGAGCTATCGCGAATCACAGCACCCCAACGACGAGGTTATATTAGAGACTTGATTAAAGCACTTCGGCGCATAAAGTGATAAGATCGTTCTTGTCCCTATTTGGGACTACAATTACAGTTAATTTCGGTATGCTACATTTCTCTATCTTGCTATTGATCGCCTCGACAAGCACGCGAAGCTCTTCAGGTCGAATCCGTGACGGTGACGTCATTTCACTGTGGACGTTTATGTACGTACCTGGGTCATTGCTGTCTTAGTCAGCAACATGTGCAGGGGTCAGGTACAAGGCACCTCCACTGTGTTCGCGGCCACAATGGCACAAAAATCAGTGAGAGCTTAAGTTGATCTGGAAACCTGGATACTTAGCAGGTTCGTCAAGAAAAAGTTTTTTGGAGCGGCATATGAGCGAGTAGTACCGGGCGTCTTGATAGCAAATGATAAATTCAAAAGCTCGTTGTTGGTTGTGCGTTGAGAACATGGCCAGTCCGGAAAAGGCTCGACTTCTACTGGCTTCTCGAAGCTTCTAGGCGTCACTGTCATCATCTAGTGTCGTCGAACTCTGTAATCCAGTGCCAAAGCCACCTAACACGCAATGCAGCTGCTTCCTAATTGATTCTAGATACATCTAGTATATTCAACAGTGTTCGCAATTGTTTGTTGCCTGGTGCGCTATTTGTCAGTACACCTTTCTGCAGAGGTATAAAACAACAGCAATGAACCCGTACATAATGACTTTCTTTCTCATCAGAACACACAACAAGTTATCTTATGCAACCTTGCAATAGAACATCCTTTCGAAGAATCTCGCAAAAAGTGAAGCGATCTTCCTCTTTCAAACCCATTTCAACCACATCAACACACAAAATGGCATTCTTCCCACGAACCTTTTACAATAACCAAGATCGCTCCTTCACACCTCTGTTCCGTCTGCTCGACGACTTTGACAGCTACTCTCGTCAGCAGAACCCAAAGGCCAGTCGTCACTGCTCAGTCCGACAATGGCAGCCAAAGTTTGACGTCCGCGAGACCACGGATGCCTATGAGCTTCATGGTGAACTTCCTGGCGTGAGCAAGGACAATGTCAATATTGAGTTCTCTGAGCCTCAGACCTTGGTTGTTCGAGGCAAGGTCGAGAGATCCTATACCGCTGGCACTCCCCCAGCAGGCCAGGTTGAGGACACTGCAATGAGCGGCGCTCTCCCCAATGCCGCTGAGGAGCCTAAGAATACACGAAAGGCTACTGTTGAAGATGAGGAGGACGAAGAATGGTCCAACGCATCACACTCCCGCCCCGGAACGCCAACTACCACCACAGCGGAAATTGAAAAGCAGCCTGAGCCCGAGGAGAAGAAGGTCGCCGACAAAGCCAAGTACTGGCTCACAGAGCGCAGCGTTGGCGAGTTTTCTCGCAGCTTCAACTTTCCCAACCGTGTCGATCAGGACGGAGTGACTGCCAACTTCAAGGATGGCATTCTGTCCATTGTCGTGCCAAAGGCTAAGAAGCACGAATCCCGCCGCATCGCCATCAACTAAGGCAATACATGTATATCGGAAATGAATGATTTTGCAACTGCACTTCAGCTTTCTCACATGGTGGCGTTTGGTGGCATGGGTTTGGTTTCGCGCATGGTGGACAAAGGGATAACAAACAGCTTGCTTGTACTATAGCACTACTACAAATTAATGAAGACCTGACACAACAATCACTTGCCTTCATGTTTGTGAGATGGAATTATAATTTAGTAGAATCGAAAGTGGGTGAGTGGGTGACCGCAGAATTGTTGCCTCCCACTTTGATTGATCACGTGCCTTGGCGTCTAACAGGAGGAGTTGGTGCCTGACCTGCGACGCGTGTCAACGCGCTTGTCATATCAACACCATTACAAATCTTCACGGCCTGAAATTGTTTCTCACTTCTTCGCCCTCGACCCAAATTGCAACTTTTTACCGAGGATTGGTCGCTTTGTTGCAAATTTCATACAAGTCAAAATGGCTGACGAGTACGACGAGGCCCAAGCGGGTGACGATGGCGGCATGACAGGACCTGGAGCTCCCACGCCGCTCACAGCCTTGGAGGTAATTTGTCTCATTTTGTACGCGATTTAACGGGGGTATTGACCTTCAAACTCTAGGGAATTGCTGGGTTAACAAAACGCGACATTCAACTCGTCATGGATGGCGGATTTAATACGGTGGAGTCTGTGGCATATACGCCTCGCCGAATGCTGGAACAAATAAAAGGCATTTCGGAACAAAAAGCACAGAAGATTCTGGGAGAAGGTTCGTTTTTTTAATCACTTCTTGCGGGCCTTTGAAACTCATTCCCTTCCAAGCCTCCAAACTTGTTCCCATGGGGTTCACGACCGCCACCGAGATGCATCAGCGACGAAGCGAACTCATTTCCATCACGACGGGATCCAAGAACTTGGACACACTTCTCGCGGGCGGGATCGAGACTGGCTCAGTCACCGAGTTGTTTGGCGAATTCAGAACCGGAAAGAGTCAGATTTGCCACACGTTGGCTGTGACGTGTCAGCTGCCTTTTGACATGGGCGGTGGTGAGGGCAAGTGTCTGTATATTGACACCGAGGGAACCTTTCGACCAGTGCGACTCCTTGCCGTCGCCAACCGCTTTGGACTATCTGGAGAGGAGGTTTTAGACAACGTGGCCTATGCTCGTGCTTACAACTCTGACCATCAGCTTCAACTGCTGAATCAAGCTGCTGCCATGATGTGTGAGACCCGGTTCTCATTGCTCGTCGTTGACAGTGCAACTGCTCTGTATCGTACAGATTTCTGTGGTCGTGGAGAGCTATCCAACCGACAGACCCATTTGGCAAAGTTTATGCGTACGCTACAGAGATTGGCTGATGAGTTCGGAATTGCTGTGGTGATCACCAACCAGGTTGTCGCTCAGGTCGACGGTGGACCAAGTTCCATGTTCAACCCCGACCCAAAGAAGCCCATCGGTGGCAATATTATTGCCCACGCTAGCACGACTCGTATCAGCTTGAAGAAGGGACGCGGTGAGACAAGAATCGCCAAAATCTATGATAGTCCGTGTCTGCCTGAGAGCGATACGTTGTTTGCTATCAATGAGGATGGTATTGGCGACCCTGCTCCGAAGGATATGGAGAAGGATTAGGTATGAGGTTGGTAGAGTCTGATTGGGTTTGCATGATATAGGCGTTATATTGGTGTCTTTGTTGTACCTACATATTTATACTCATAGACAATACGAATCGTGATGTCACAGATATGAAGATACTTCAATGGAATCTACGACATACAAAATACTCACCAATGAATTGTTTAATAGATATACGAGATGATTTTTCCAAGTGTTCTTATTCACAGTTATACTTCAACAGTCTCGATGCTATTTATGGTAAATAGAATTCAGGCGGTATAGCTGCCTTTGTTGTGCTGTAGGGTATGGTGGTGGGGAGCTGATTTCTATTTTGGGTTAGCGTCGTCTCGACGTCAAGTTTCGATCTGAATTTCTGCCATCCAACGCGATCACCTCTCGCCAGCAACCGTCCCAACACTCACAAGAATCTGCTTCTCTCCCTCCACCCCTATTAACCAGGGACCGGGATTCCTTTATGGAGGCGAGATGGATTCTGGCGACATTCAGTATCTCTTCAAAGAGACCCGCTTGAACATCGAGCCTCCTGCGCCATCGTCGATTGTGAGCATCCGGGTGCCCTCGAAAAATGGCAACGGGCGCAGCCAACGACGCATTACCCACGAATCATTATCTGAGGACGAGACGACGTTTCGATTGAAAAATCTATCTATCAACTCATCAATTTATCATCGCAAATGGCACGATACGCCTCGCAGCTTCCTCTGGCGAGTTTTGGAGGACGGAGCTGTATTGAGCATTCGAGCCGCCGACGTTTGCAAAAAGGACAAGACTCCCGATGCGCCTCTTGTGCTAAACTTCAATTTTTCCGTGCCGATTCAATCCGGTTGTGTGGCATTCTCTGACCCGGAAGAACACGATGCGCTTTGCGTTTATGTGCTGGACCAGTCTTCGCAGCTGTACACTTTTACGCTGCGACCCGAGTTCTTCAGAAAGAGGACAGCCATCGATGCGGTTCTTTCAGAACTTTGCAAGGTTCAGTCGCCGGCAGGACTTGGCTTCAAGAGCCCACATAGGTTGGTGGCTGTGACGGCCAATACTTTACTCGTTACAGTGAGCGATGGTGGAATGATTCGCTTTGACAAGACAAAACATGATGACTGTGAGTTTGTCTTGAACCTTTGTCATTCTTTTTTTCTAACGAGGTGTAGCATCGTCTGGTCTTTGGAAGGAGTCATTCTTCAACGTTCAAGGCTGGGCTCAAAATCTACGAAGTTTGTTGCCATTCCAGGGGAATCATACGATCAAGCACGGAAAAGTCAATATGGAATACAGTGCTGCGACGTCCATCGAAGTGACGGATTTTGGGCTGGAGGGCTGTCTTTTTGCCATAACGATTTGTCTCGACCACCGAATTCGTATTTGGAATGTTAATGATGGTCAGATTCTTTTCACTGGCGACTTACTCAACGTGGAGCGTACGCCTCAACAGGTTGGAAAATGGTCCATCGACCCCTCTCAGTCAAATCTGGTTCAACTTGTTGGACACAACCAGGGACAACGAATTTGCGCCACGTACTCTCCCATCGGCGTGGGCGAATTTAAGTTTTGGAAGATTATCGCCAAGGACGCACACACCGTCATTGTAGAAGATCTCTTCCCAAAGACCACGCTAATACCATCTACGCCATCATCTTCCGATATCTGGACGCTGGCTGACTTCGTTCTTGTGTCACCTGCGGAAGGATCTATCAACCTGTGGACGCTGTGGAAGAACAACATGTCATACAGAGTCAAGCGGCTTGAGCTGGATAGAAAAAACATGGCGCAGTCGTGGGAGGAAAACTGGGATGGCGTGTACCCTGACGCTGGAACTATGCCAGTTCAAACGTCCGGGCCGTGCGACTCAACCGATGTGACAGAGAAATGGCTACAGTGCATTCTGCAACCAGGACGATTTACAAAGGCAACACTCGAAACAGCTTTGTCGATATACGAGCGCGGCCTGGGGACATCAAAGGATGGCAGCAACGGCAAGGGTCGTGGTCTTGCCGAGTCTATTTGCTCAGTCTTGGGTGCAACGGCTTCACTGGAGCGCGGCGCATCGGGGGCCATGGATTACGAGCAGTTTAGAGCATCTGGTGAAATTCAGTGGCGCAGATTCTACAGACTCATAGCCGAGCTGGATCGTCAGCGTGGAGAGGCTATTGGTTTGGCCTTTGATCCCGAGACTGACATGGCTTGGGTAATCTGCACCGATCTTGTCTCTGCCATCCGACTATGCAGTGATTTGGAGCGGCTTTATCACAATCTTGGCTCTCCTGATGAGGAGAACGCTAGCAAGGCGGCCCTGGTTAACGCCGCGCTGTCCTTTGTGGACGGTTTCTCAGACAATCATGTCCAGTTAGCTCAGGCTGCATTAAGACAAGAAATCTTTGACGAATCATCCAAAACCGATTTGGAGCGCATCCAGTACTTTTCTGACAAGGCTGGCTTCTGGAGGGGCATCACTGATGAGGACTGTGCACAGGTTGTCGATGTGCTCGGCGCTAATTTCGCCATTGTCGACGACGATTTGTATGCTCATGTTTTAGACCTGATGGCTGCTCCCTTGGAAGCGAGACGGCGGCATTTACGTTACCCCTTGACGGAATTTGGGCAGAAACTCGTTATGAAGGGCGTTCAAGATGCCATTGCGTTGCAATGGAATGTTTGCTTCAGCCAGGTAATTCTTCTTGTTCACATGGAGTTTGAATTTGACAATGAAGAGGACGCCTTGCACAACCGTGTCGATATTGGATCAGTATATCGGAAACTCATCAGCGCACTTAAGAGGCTGGGACTCTTGAAGTGGCTGGCACATACCGAGTTGTCAATCCCTCTGTCCCATGGCGACCGAGCGTCACAGTCCAAGAAGGTTGGCGACGACAGCACCCAGACAGTGACTGCTCTCGAGGCCAACCTCGGGCACCTTCTCGGCTTTGATAATCTCAGAAAGGAACCTCTCTCTAGCAGCCTCACGGATATCATAACAAACCTCTGTGCGCCAGACAGCGACATCGAAGTCTCTCCGGCACTTATCCAATGTGCACTCATCAAACAAGACCGAGCCGATTTGGCTCTTGAGCTTGTTCCGTTTAGCGACCAAAACCCATTCTCTGTCTATGTGCTGGGCCGAGTTCAATTGGCACTCAACGATTTTGAGTCAGCAGCAATCAGTTTTAGAAGGGCAGCCATTGGAATGGGTAAGTCTACCTTCTGGCGTTATGATAGCGTCAATATTGACTGACAGTTTTAGGCACTAAAACAGTCCCTAGCGACAGACACAGCTGCGGGCTCTTGGGAGATACGGAGTGGAATCTCCTCAACAACGGCCAGGCAATGTATTATTCCCACATTGTTGCGCAATACGAAGCACAAAAGGCGTATTCATACGTGGTCGACTTTGCTAGGCTGGCGATGCAATTCCTGGATGCTGTCAAGGATAGTTCATCTGCGAAGGTTGAGATGCTCAGTCGTCTATTCAATGCTGCTTTGGTCACATCACAATTTGAGCTCGCTCACACAAGCCTGCTCTCCATCAAAGACGATGCCTTGAAGCACTCGAGCCTGCGAAAGCTTGTGGACAAGATGTGCGAAACATGTCACAGCATGGAACTGGTATCGTTGCCTTTCCCCGGCCTACAACAAGAAGTAGATGACATACTAGCCGACCGGTGTCGAAATTCGACCGATGTAGTGCAGGGATTCCCGTATCATCAAGTGTTGTACTCATGGCGTATCAAGCGCAATAATTACCGCGGAGCTGCATCAGTTCTCCTCGACCACATTCAGAAACTAAAACTGGCCGGCGAGGGGGATAAGATTACGGGCGACGATGTTTTGGATACTCCGGTGACACGCCAGTACTTGCTTCTTATTAATGCCCTCAGCTGTGTTGAACCACAGCAAGCGTGGATATTCGACGAGGGAGCACCAGCGCTCCACCAAAATGGAGATGGTGCCAGCAAACGAAAGGTGGTGTCGCTGGCAGATATTCGCAAACAATACCAGAATGAGCTTGACAGAATTGCGGCGATCCAGAACAACCAATTTGGTTTCGAGGCGGGCGATGTAATGGAGTTATAAACGGTATGCTAGTGTGTGAATTGAGACGGCAGAGGCATGTGTAAATTATTTTTTGGCAGAAATTTTCACGATCTAGATACCTTGGGACGAAATGGTACGTGAGGCATTATGAGGAAGGTTAATAAAGAGAAAATAACCACGTTCGAATATCTGTCTTTAATTTTCAGGATGGTGGCCCACCCATTGGCTTTGCCAGCCGACAGGAAGAATATCGCCTCCTTCAATAACTACCCCTAACGCCGAGCCCTATGCTAGAAGAACACTTGGGAATTATAAACATGTGACAAAAGCAAAGGGGGCCCCTTGGTGCATGGTCCTCGGTCTTGGACCCCCTATCCTTGGGCAGCAGCAGCTTGAGCGGCGGCTAATTTGGCTTCGTTGGGAGCCGGGAGAGGCTGCAGACCGCCGCCGGTGTTCTCGGCGAGGCCGTCGGGAGCTTGGCGGTACAAAATGATTTCGGATTGCTTGAAGTACCGACGGGCATCTAGACATGTCAGCGACACTGTGACTGTGCTGGGCTATACGCGCCACAGAAAAAGGAGTAACTCACCCTCATCAATCAGGACCAAACTGAGGTAATATCTCGTCGAGAACTTCTTATTCACATCCCGAAACGTAGGCGTCAAGTCGAAACCTCCCAAGAACAGCCTAATAGGAATGGTCTCCCCTCTCGACGGCGAACCGTCCATGATCTCAAACCTCACCAGCGTCTCGCTCTCGTTGTACTGATTCGGCGCGGCGCCCGTCGTTTCTCTTCGGATAATGGACAGCTCCATGTGCTTAATCTTCAGCCGGACCAACAAAAAGTAGATGCGGCCGACAATGACATCCTTGAGGTGGTATTTGCTCTTGCTGTACTCGAACTCAATGTGAAGACAGTCCTCGATGCCGACGTCCATCTTAATGCTGCTATTCATCTCGGGCGGAATGCGGTAGCTGTAGACCCAAATGTCCTTTTCACGAATGACGTCGGCCATGCGGCGGGACACGGTGACGCGCACAAAGTACCGCAGCTTGACGTTGATGCCGTTGTACGACTCGTACTGCTTCTCGACGTTTTTGAAGTTGAAGTCGAAGGTCTGCGGGTGTTGCAGCTCACCGGGGGCGGCGAGTTCTTGGTTCAGCGAGAGGAATTCGTAGTGGTTGCCACGGTCAAAGAACATTTCAATGGTGCCGATGAATTGCACCTTGATGCCCGTGTGTTCGAGGCGCTTGCCATCCTTGGGGCGGACGGTGACGGCACCCTTGACGGATTCGCCGTCCATGTAGAGGGGAGCCTTTTCGCGGCGGTTCTTGTCCAGTTTGACGTCGACCATGGAGCGGTCGTCGGCATCCTCGAGGACGACGTCGATGTCGACGGGGGTGGAGAAGAAGTACGACATTATGGGGAAAAGAGGACGTACACGGCGCCTTGGGAGTGTTGACGGAGGCGGGATGGCACACGAGGAGTCCGCAAGGAGTCCGCGAGGAACAGATGGGCGCCGGTGGAGGTGAACTGGTGATGTCGTGGTGATTCGTGAAGGTGTGTCAACGACGCTGACGTACTGTTTGGGACGAATGGGGGATCCGGAGCTCCCCACCGAAGCTCGGATGTTCGAGACGGAACCGATCGATGAGCTGTCTCGCTCGCCCAAAGTTGAAAATTACGTGATGCGTGGACTGAAATAACTTCAATTCTATCATCTACATTTGAAAGTAAGACAGTGGAAAACCACCATGATTTTATTTTGACTTTTATTGGATTGACCTGTTGACGCGGAATGGTTACAAGTCAAAACAACCTGGATATCTATCAACCAAACATCAACCAAAGTGGGCCCTGGAGCATCGGAGGAGTCACGTGTAAGATCACGTAGCTCGTTTCGCCCCCCACCACCTGCTCTCACGGCTCAATCTCGGCCACCCGCAATTTCTGTGCTCACGTGAAGCGAGCCCTAGAACTTTTCCCGCCCACACGATTTCGCCAACAATTTGTCGTGACCGCAGCCGACGACCTACGACAACCTCCTCACCTCCCGACATCCCCAACTCACAACCGGCAGGATGAAGTACATTCATTCTCAGGAGATCCTTGAAATCCCCGAGGGGGGTACGTACCAATTTCTTACTTTGATCGATTCCGAAAAAAAAAAGAGTCCAAATTGTCCGCCGTATTTTCGAAGTTGGAAATTTTTATGCCCGCCAGTCCGACGATGCAACGAAACAGATTAAATTGAAAGACAAAGAGAGAAATGGCATTTGGAAATCCGACACCGAACGACTGGCAGTGGTATCGAAATTTCCGACGACGAATTCACGGCGCAATTTGGACCGAACAGCAAATTTATTTCCTAACACGACACTAACACACCTATAGTCAAGGTTGCCATCAAGACGAGAATCGTGACCGTCGAGGGTCCCCGAGGTACGACACACTAACAGCGACATGGCTTTCTGAAAAACAAAAGCCACTCAATCAGCCAAGGACCTTTTCTGACATGCACGAACAGGCAAGCTCGTCAAGGACCTCGGCCACTTGGCCGTCAACTTCGGCCACCCCAAGAAGAACACCATCTCGATCGAGATCCACCACGGCAACCGTAAGAATGTCGCCACGCTGCGTACCGTCCGATCGATCATCCAGAACATGGTTATCGGTGTCACCAAAGGTTTTAAGTATAAAATGAGATACGTATATGCTCATTTTCCCATCAACGTCAACCTGGATAAGAGCAACGACACCGGGCTATGGGAAGTCGAAATCCGAAACTTCATCGGCGAGAAGATTGTCCGCCGAGTCGTCATGCAGGAGGGCGTCGACGTCGAGCTGTCCAAGAACCAGAAGGATGAGCTCGTCCTGACTGGCAACTCTCTGGAGCGCGTTTCGCAGAGCGCTGCCGACATCCAGCAGATCTGCAAGGTCCGCAACAAGGATATCCGAAAGGTGGGTTTTTCGTCACTGCTGTTTTTTCCTACCTCATCAGCGGGGTGTGAAGAAGGGAGGCAGCCGGATTGTTGACTAGCCATTGTGACAATCTGCGCCTGCAACCACCCGTAACATGTTGAGGACTGATTTGCTAACGCTTGGGTTGCAGTTCTTGGACGGTCTGTACGTTTCCGAAAAGGGCAACGTCGTTGAGGAGTAAGATTGGGAGGGGCACGGACACGGAATTCTTGTTTCTTTTGCGTTTCTGGGTCTCAGGAGTGGCGACGGTTTAACCATTTGCATGTCACGTAGCAAAAGGGCTACAAAAGAAACTGATTAAAAAGTAACGATTTTTTTGTGCATGACCGTGCCTTGTGTTGTAGGAACTGTGAGGCGGTATCATCCGTGATGGAACTTGATCCAAGCTTGGAGAGAAAGTGGTAAACACTCGTGTCAGATTGGGGCTCTTTCGAATCGCTCCGTCGTGTCGATGCGTTCCATGACGACGCCAGTTGCACCAATTTATAAGACGAAGCAGCAGTACGGAAAATTGGAACCAAATGTTGTTGGTGTCATGTCCATTATAGGCGGAAGTCGCCAAACTACCTAGGTGTTGTATCCGTCATCTATGTGCAAAGAATTTCGTCCATGTCCAGCAACCATCATCTTCTATGTTCCTCATATCCAGTCTTCTAGTTCATATCTTCATTCCCAAACGTGTCCATTTTATACTGATGAAAGCCGACCTTGGGCAGCGTGTCAAAACCAGCCAACTGTGAAATGCAACAAAATAATACCGAAACGCCACAGCTCATTACATGCAGAGAAAACTATAGGTAACAAAAACAAAGGTGCCCCTTAAAATACAGATACGGGGTTCACCATAGAATGCGAAATATACGGGGGTTTGAGCGCGGAACGCGTCTCAATCGAGCAACCACTCTAGGGTCGGCGCGTGGTGGCACGAGAGTAGTAAGAGGCTCCGCCACGGCTATCACTGCGGTGGCTCCGGCCTGTTCGACCGGTACGATGGGTTCGTCGTCCTGAACTAGAGCTGCCTAGAAATTGGTCAGTGTTTGACCAGAGGAATGAACAGACAGGTCGCAATATAAACTTACTTGGGCTCATATATGTAACGTCGGAATACGTGTAGGTCGACGAATCAGTGTACCGTGAAGACTGCGGCCGTCGAACAGGTTTCTTATCCTTTCTGAGGTTGAGTAAAGCCAACAGGGTCGTTGCTGCGCCCGCAAGGCCCAACCACCATTTTCCATCCGACTTCTTCGGGCGGCGATCAGCGACAGATGTTGGACGGCCACCAAACCATCCAGAATGGCGGTCTCGGCGGGAATAGGCAGACGGTGCCTGGCTGCCATGTCGTGAATAGCGGACATCTTCCTCAATGATGACCTTTTCAGACCTTTCCTTTTTCCGGCCAAAGATGGCGTTCCAGATACCACGGGCGATGCAGCAGAAGCAGAGAAGCATAAGCAGGGCGACACCAGCCAGCGTGCCGATAACAATACCGGCAATGGCGCCACCGCTCAAACCGCCTCCAGTTCCGCCCTTGTTGCTGCCATCAGCTCCGATAGTATCCCCATCGCTAGTGGAAGTTGAACCCGCAGAGGTGGTGGTTGCCGTGGCTGTGAAGAAGGACTGGTCGCTTCGAGTACCGCTGCCGATAACAGTCGTGGTGCCGGTGACTCGGTAAGGAGCAGAGTATCGAGTCGTGACTACACCATCCGAAGTGATGACGATGGTGCTGGGCTCTTGATATCCCGGCCGCGAGGAGCACTGGCCCTTGAAGGCGCAAGTTTGCCAACCAGCACAGCAAATCGACCCGCAGGCTTCTTGCTCTGGACTCTGAGGTTTGCAATCGACCCCGGGTATCGGAGTCGGCGCCGGAGCCCAATTCGTCATGATGGTACTCGTGTAAGTCCTCGTCTCGGTCCACGTCGTAGTGTATGCGCCGTAGGAGCCGCCGCCGCCAGGCGCACAGGTAGCTACATTGCCGGCTAGGGTTGTGCAGACCTGGTTGGAAGAACAACAAAACTGCTTTTCAGAGCCGCAGTAAGTTGCGCAGTCATCTCGTTGCAAGAGAAATGAGAAGCCCCAGTCGTTGACGGCATTCCGAGGAAAAGGTGAGGCGGAGACAATGGCGGCTGTGGCGCCGAGCAAGAAGAACAACCGTCCCGTCGCCGGCAAAGACGAGACCGGAATGGGGTTTTGCATGGCGGCCGAGCGAGACGAGTTGCGGCCAGGAATGCCCACTGGAATGCGGGAGCGGGTGTGACGCTGTCGAGGCTTATGACGCCTGAGAGATCAACAGTAGAAGCTTCTTGGAGTCGCGAGCTTTGCGAATAAAAGGCCCAAAGCCAAGGAATTGCTGGGCAAAGTCAGCGGCCAACGAAGTAAACAACAATAAGTGACAATTCACTCCAATAGTCTATCTTTGTTGCACAATGCATGAAAAAGAGAGAAACGTCTGGCGCGTCACGCATAATGGAGATTTTAAGAGGCTGCAGGTCTGGCCGCGACTGTCTCGGCTTGCATCCCCAACCTCCTCCCGCTTGGATGCAGAGGAAGTGGCCCAGCCCCTCCAAATTCGACTGGCACCAAGACGTCACCTTCTACTCCGTAATCCCAGCTCAAAACAAAGGACCAGGGGCTTCCCAGGAGCTACTCAGTAGAACTAACTTTTAATTAATTTTTTTTTTCAACCATGCCTTATTAATTTCAGGGGTCCAATACGGAGTATGGGTGAAACTCATTCTTGATTTTGGTCCAGCAGCCGGTGATATTTTTGTGCTTCTTGTCCTTCCGCTGCTTTGTCCGATGGCTTCAGCTGTCAGGGTTGCCGGGGTTGCCAGGGCGCCAACCACCCACACCATTATTACTCCGTACCCAAGCTCAAGCTCTCTCGGTGTCCAAGAAAACGCATGAATTTAGGCGGGGACGGACATTGGACTCAACGGCCCGCAATGCCAACTCATCGGCACCTAACGCGGCCTCGTGAACCGACTGTTTGACCAGTGCTGTGAGAATGGTTGCATGGCCTTTCATTACTGGATGATCGGGTATCGATGCTGGAGCAGTTCGTGTGCTGTGCGTGGCTGCATGTTGCTGGTACCTGGTTTCATGGCGGTGACACCTAGCTTCCTCGCCAAGGCATTGTTCGATCGTTTGACCGTTCAACCGTTCAACCATCTACTACCCTCTCCGTACGGAGTATGTATATCGTATTCAGATCTCATCTTCGAGAGATAATGGAGACCATGTATTGCCGCTGGATGGCGGACGCCCGTTTGTTTCCCTAAACTCGAGGCCCTGTAGCGGACAGCGGGATGCGGCAAGGCCGAACCCAAGACACATGCATGCGGGCGGCACTTGTTCGATCGGTAAAAGCTTATTCATGGCCATCTCAGCTGGTGAGACCAACTCATTGGGCAATACCCGACTTTTATTATTACTGGAAAGATTCAGGTCTGGTGGCTGGGCTCGTGAGGCCGGCAGCGGCGCATCCTCGGGTAACAGCTGGCCGCCGCAGGTCGAGCCGTTGCTCTTGCCTGCCTGGCAATTGCTTCCCTCGTGAAGCTTGGCAATTGGGTGGGGCATAAGCAGCTGAGACCTCCAGTCCGGCTCCAGAGCTTCCCTGGCTGTTTGACTGTGACGCTTCGCTGGTTGGCTGCATCATTGACCTCATCTCATTAAGAGCCTCAAGCGGCACTACGTCCACATCCATCGCCAACGCCCGCCCGCCCATAGCACTGAATCTCCTCTTTCCCGGTTGCAGCCCCTAGTTTCCTACTTGGTCAATACCAGTCGTCGCCTGTGCGACGCTCCGACGACAACTGCGCCGCCATCATGTCGCTCGATCCGCCCACCTATCTAGCCTCCTTGCAGAGCAACATTCGACAACGGCCAATTCCATGGGACGGCGCCGTGAGGGCAGGTACGCTTACCGAAGAGCAGTACGCAAAGATTCGTGCTGTCGACAAGGCAAAGAAGCTCGAGCAGAGAAAGGAAGTTGTCGAAGGCGATTTCGATGGATACAGGCTGCTCTTTGTTGGCGGCCCAGGCAAGCCAAGTGTGCTGGAGACTGCAGGCAAGCATGCCAACGTGATTCAATATATCTTGGTTCTTCTGGGGGATCTGATTGATGGTATGCTCTCTTGTGATCTAGGCGGAGGCAGCTCCCGGCTGGATGCACCTGCCAAATCTTCTACCATGCTTCTCGGCTGACAATTTGGCCCTTGCCTATAGCCGTCCCGTCTCTGGCGAAAGCATTATTCAAGAACACCGACCCATACAGGCATTTCCTACCGTTGCTGCATTCAAACACCACCGAAGACCCGATTCCGTTGCTTACGTCTCACGCGTTGACGACCCTCATGTCTCTGTCTCGGGACGAATCTAAAGCTACCGAACAGGCCTTACCCGTGGTGTTCACCTATCTGTCTGGCTTAGCCAAGAGCACCGATGCCGGCCTGCAAGATATTGCCGTACAGGAGTATTCGGCACTCCTCTTTGGCCGATCCTCACGCCACAAGTTTTGGAACCAGAGAAGCGAGACGGTTGAGCCTCTTGTCAAGATTCTGCAGACTGCTGCCGGCATTGGGAACGGTGGAAACTCCGCCGCCAACTTATGGAGTGGCAACGTCAACGTTCGTAACAATGGCTTTGAGGGGTCTCTGGGTGGTGGCGTGGGTCTTCAATTGCTGTACCACGTTTTGCTCGTTATTTGGCAGCTGAGCTTTGAGGCTGATGAGATTGGCGACGACCTGAACGAGTAAGTATCAAGTGTCCTGGCGAGGACTACGGAGAGTGCTCCATCTGCTAACCAGAATAGCGAGTACGACGTAATTTTGCTTTACACTCATCTTTTACGGCTGTCTCAAAAGGAAAAGACTACAAGACTCATCCTATCTACGCTGTACAACTTACTCGAAAAGAATCAAACCTCGCTTCTTCCCACCGCCGTCCTCGCCCGATTGCCGGCTCTTTTGGAGAACCTTGGCAGTCGCCACATGACGGACCCCGATCTGCTGGAAGATTTGCAGAGCCTGAAGGAGTTGCTGGACGAGTATACCAAGACCAAGACAACTTTTGACGAATACGTTGCCGAGGTAAACTCTGGTCACCTCCGCTGGTCGCCTCCTCACCGAAGCCAAGTATTCTGGGCGGAGAATGCCAGGAAAATTCTCGAGTTTGAGAACGGCG